GAGGGTACCTGGCCTGTGCAGGATACAGCAGGAGGCCATTGTGGCTGGGGTAAGCCAGGGAGGGAGCCATGGGAAATAGAGCAGGTCACTTGGGTCATGTAGGCTATTGGAGTGACTATGGCTTTTACTCTGGGGAAATGGAAAGCCACAGCAGAGTGCTAAGCCAAGAAGTGGCATGATGTGACTTTGGACATAAAAGGGTGGCTCTGGCTGTAGTGTGGGATTTGACACCTAAATAGGAAGGAGGTTGCAGTGTCACTCCAGTGCTCTGTTTATACTTCACTTGTCCCCTCAGCACCTCTGTGATGGTTCATCTTGATTGCCAATGTGATTGCCTTGAGAAACACCTGCAAGACTTTTAACGCACATGTCTGGGGTATGTCTGGGTGGACCACAGGAGCATGACCTTAGGAACTCTACTTGGTCCCTGGCGCCTTCCTCTCTGGCTCTTTGACTCTGCTTTCTGGCTCCCATGAGTTGAGCAGCTTTCCTCCATCACGCCTCCCACCATGATGTTTCTTGGAGCCAGGCAGCTAGCCATGGGCCAAAAGCCCTAAACTTGTGAGCTGAAATGAATCTCTTCTTCTTTAAATTGTGCATTTTGTCCCAGCAATGGAACAATTGCTTTTTCTGTCTGGCAAGTGGCTGCTGACCTCTCCTCTGTCAGCCTGCTCTCTACCTCCTAGTCTCTGCTTGATGTCCCCAGGACATGTCCTCCAGCTCCCACTCCTGCTGCATCACATCCTAAAGTATATAGTGCCTGGCTGGTTCCACTTGGGGTGTTAACACGGCTGTAACTAGAGGTCCCTTTGGCTCCTTTGTTGTTTGTTGAACTGTTCAGGCATGTGCAAATAAGTATTAAGCGTTTGTTTATGGAACATAGCATTGAATTTTCTGCTTTGTCATCAGGCAAGGTCCTCTATGGAGGTAAGTCAGGCAGAGAAAACTTTGTGTGGCTCTCAAAAGACCCAGCAGTTTAAGCAGCTTTAAACAAAGAAGGAAAATGGAAAAATCTGTCTTACACCTTAAATTCCATCCTGCAAATGCTTGGTGGAAAAATCAACAGCAACTTTTCCCCCATACAGATACACAACTTCTTATGGAAACATAAGCTATTTAAACCAAATATACTTAGATAAAGGAAAATACACAGACTGTAAGTGCAAAGTATTTATTTCCTACCAAATTGTGTGAGATTAACAAATATCAAATGTAAAAAAACAAATGCGACATCAGCCCTGAAACCAAAAAAAGATAAACCTTCGTGCTATTAACTTTAAGAAATATCATCCAGAAAATGAAAAATTGGACCAAACTGAAGAAAAGGTGCTGAAAAGTCAATGTATTCTTCAAAAGGAGAATGGAACATGTAGGTGCAGGGAGGGAATTCTGAAAAGTCTCATGCTTTATCAGTGTTGGCATTAAGAACAGAGGTCCACCAGGGAAAGGCTTGGCACTCCCACTGCTTAGCTGGGGATGCTTTCTTCCATCAAGAAGATTTCTTCCCCAGGCAAGAAGACCTGGGAGAGTTTGCCATATTTCCTTAAAATAATTGGGCAAGAAATGGGGGATGCATCTGCTAATAATAATTATTACAGCTGAACCAAGAAAAGTTCCACTAGGCATGAAAAAAAATACCACGCCAAAACCCACAATACCCCCAGACTCAGTGAAACCTTTGCTTCCTTAGAATGAAGGAAAGGCCTCAGTGGTAGCTACCCAAAGCCTTAGGTTCCTTCCCACTGGGAAGCTGAAAGACCTGGTAAGACTTACAGACCATGGACATGCACTCTTATCTTCTAGGTGGAAGAATAAAATAAGACCCAATCAAGCACTACTTGGGATAGGTGATAGGCCAAGAATGAATGGCACACATTCATTAGTTTCCAGGTCACACTAGTATGTGACTGAAGCAAAAAAAAAACCCCAAAAACCCTACATACAAAGAGGGAGGGAGGGAGGGAGGGAGGGAAAAATGGCATAATCTATTAAACAAAGAAGAGACTTTCAGATAGTCACAACAGCCTACGCCAGCGGTGGCAAACCTATGGCACATGTGCCACAGCTGGCTATTTGTATCATTGAAAGCTCTTATGCTTACTGAGCACTGACTATCCACCAGGCACCATTAATAGTGCTTTGTGTATACTAACTCCATCGATTCTCACAACACCATAAGGTAAGCACTATTATTATCCTGGTTTCACAGATAAGAAATCTAAGGCACAGAAGGGTGGAGAAGCTTACCCCAGTCTACCCAGCTGGGAGGAGTTGGGCCAGGATTTGGACAGAGGCACCCTGTGTCTGGAGCCTGTTCTCAGCTACTCTGCTTTGCCCCAGTAAACACAACATTTTAGACAATTGCCTGGTTCTCTCAAGGAAATTAAGCAGAAAAGAAATTTACTGGTGATATGCCTTTTCTTGAAAGCTGCTGGAAGGAATTTTTTTAAAAGATAAGTGCTCAGGAGTCAATGTGGAGTAGTTTAAAATCTCCCAGGACGAGAACTGTGCAGAGTCTAAAGAACACAAGGATATGGGGACTATCAAATTGTAGTGTGCCTGACAATTGCAAATAGTATTGTTGATCATTTGATGGTCTATGAGAGGAACTGGCAAGAACAGCAGTAGATATAGTGGAAAATAAAGCAAATTTTTAAAATTTTCATCTGTAATTCTTAACTATGGGGAAACACAAATTTAGATGACAGAGTATAGGAAGAATAGCCATACTCCTTAGCAAACGAACCAAATTTATATGCAATATATAATATAGTATAGTCGGATACATATATGGAATACCTATCCAATACATAATATTGATATACATAATGTAAATACTATCAACTTGAAATTTTTATGAACTATCATTGGAGTGACAGAAGAAACATAAGAATGATGAGACAGCTGAAACTGCAACTTCTGCAATTTGGATAATTTCTAAAAGGAAAAAATAACAGCCTGTGGGTGTATTATTTATAACTGTGACGTATACCAGAATAAGCAGCTGCAACAGTTGGTATAGAATAAGACCTGTGAGGCAGGAACTGGTTAGGTGGGTGAGGAAAAGGGCTACTTTCTTTTATTAGAAGCATTTTTGTGGTATTTGCTTCTTTTCCACTCCATAAAACTTAAACCAAAATCACAGATGAAAATTTGAAGACTATCCTTAAAAAATACTTATTAAATGTTTTTTAAAAATTACTAAAGAATCTAACCCCAAAAACATTTTAATAAAAAGATCTATAAAACACTTCTTAGAAATTAAAGATTGATTTTCTATATAGATGTGTTCCTGGGGAGTCTTAATTTCTTTTACCTTAAGAAACAAGAAAAGCCACAAACAGTATGGAACTTTAAAAATGTGTTTTGTCTAAGAAATTGAATCACACACTTCCACCCTCTAATTGTATTTTTTTGTTGTTTTGTTTTCCAAGATATTAAAAGAAGGGCCTTTTTTTTTAGCACTTAGGTGGAGGCGTAGCACAGCCATCTGTACAGCGCATTCAGTTACAGGGAAGAGAGCCGCTTAGCCATACCAATGCCACGTGAGATAGACTCAGGAGAGTTCTCGTTGTCTTGTTGTCCTTAAATAATCTGTTCACATGTAGACCCTGGATTCCCATCACAGATTGCTCATATGTCGTGTTCCCCTTATAGATCATGGATTTTCTTAACTCCTTGGGATCCTTTGACAACCTCCCCCATGCTGTATGTGAACAAATCTGTCTTTGTAGTACCACCAGCTGAAAAAGGAATACATGGCAAGCCCATGGTGCATGTTTAAAGTCTGCAAGAAAATAAACCCAAAACAACCGAATAAAAGAGGCAGTGTTCAAGTTTTTCAAGAGAAATTGGTAGGCACAGATGGGGATTTTAGAAGAAATTAAAGAAACCTTGGGGAGTCTGGAGAACCTATCCTGTGGGCTTTGAATTAGAGGTTGAAAATCTTGGCCCTTTCAGGTCAGAGATGAGGGAGGGAAATAATATAAAGAGCCTAAGTACCAGAGTGGTTATTTAAGGTACAGCAGTAAATAGCACCTGCAGCGTAGTGGGATGGTGTGCACATTTATCAAAGAAAGCAGAGTAGCATGGGGTCATAGAGACTGGTAGCAGAAAAGCATACAAAAGGGTTCATGCTGGAAATTCTGTAGAAGAAAGTAAATTTGGTGTTTGGAAGGACATAGAGGGAAGTGGCCAGTGGTGAAGATTACATCAAATTTGTTTTTGCTCAAGAGGTTGACAGGTGTGACCACCTCGACACAGGATCCTGGAAAAAAAGTATCTAATTTCATGCTTGGATGAAGGTGACACTGACACATTTATAAATTGTCTGAAAGATTTCTAAGTGCTGGAAAACTCATAATGAGGATTCATATGGTGGTAATTTGTTTTAGCCTTTCCTAAGAAATCCATCTAAATCCTAGGAAGTCCACTTCAACCCTGCGAAGGATGCATGGGCTGTATATGAATCAGTCCATAAATCCAAAGTAATATTACACTAGTAACAAGTGTGTGTAATCTGTGAAGCTAGGTCTCACAAGAAAACTATAGGTGGGCCGGGGATTTAGCTCAGTGGTTCTGCTGCCTGCCTCGCAAGCACAAGGTCCTGAGTTTGATCCCCGGTACAAAAAAAAAAAAAAAAAAACTATAGGTACTTACTTTGTTTGGCTGTGACTCATCTTGCTTTCCTTCAACATTCCTAAAATATTTATCCACAGACATTTGTATTTTTGCTTTCTCCTTTTCATGACAATAAAGTCAGAACAATACTACTTCAAACTCATACTTCTATGTGGAATGAGCCCTTAGATGTCTGAAAAAAACTGACATGAGTCCCAGCGCCATCTGTTGGTGGCAGATAGAATTGACATGCTTTGGGTCTGGCTGGTGTGTGCACATCCAGATCTCCTGCAATTAGGTGAAGGAGCTTCTATAATGTCAGAGTCACATACTACTCAGCCAGCCACCAACGTTTTTCTTTCTCTTTCTCTATTGTGAAGGTGTGGCGGGGCACCCTGGCCCGCATGCGGTACAAGAGGACAAAGGCTGCCCTGACCATAATTAGGTACTACCGGCGCTACAAAGTGAAGTCATACATCCAAGAGGTGGCCAAACGCTTCCAGGGTGTCAAGACCATGAAAGACTATGGGAAGCACGTGAGGTGGCCGACCCCTCCTAAAGTACTGCGTCGCTTTGAGGAAGCCCTACAGGCCATCTTCAATAGGTAAGAATTTGTTGGCATGTGCCATATCCATTCATGGCAGCACAGGACACAAATCCTAGACCATGATATTGGCTGAGCTCTTTGCTATTATGATGTTATCTTTCCTTTCTGTCTTTAGTTTCATAGATTTTGCTTCCGAAGGGTATTTACTTACCTCTCAAAATGATAGACCTGTTAACTGTAGCTGTTTGCAGCTACATGCCTCAACCCCTAGATCTAACCTGCATTTAAGATAAGCCACTAGCTTGCTATCTCTACTTTCTGTTATTAGCCAAAAAAAAAGAGTAAATTGAATTTTACACAAATTAATAAATTCTAGGCCACAAATAAAACCTCAAAATCTAAAAAGATTGCCATGGTACAATCTAATCAAAATCAAGCCATTACCGATACTATGTAGATATTTATTGTCATAGGCTGGTCTTCGTGACTGTTTTTTCAGTCACAGAAGTACACATATAATCCTGCTTGTCTCTGAAAGAGAGGGGAAACCCCATATGGTATGTGGCTATGTGTGTACACACACAGTATGGGAAAACATTTTCATAGCACTTAACCTACTATGTGTCAGGCACCACCTGAAATGCTTTGTATTTACTCATTTTATACCTTTCAGCAACCCTATGAGGGAGGTGCAGTTTCATGATCTTTCTACAGAGAAACTGAGGCCTTAAGAGGTTAACTAATTTGCCCAAAGTTACACAGCTAGTCCAGGGACAGAGGTAGAATGACTCCAGCTCTGTGTTTTTAGCAACTCTGTCATACTGCCTCCTACAACACGTGCATGTGTTTCATAAGTGTGCAAAGGTCTAGAAGAATACCAGTTGTTAATGAGTGGTATCTCAGGAGAAGGGAATAAAATGAGGGGAAGACAAGGGTAGTATGAAGGATTTCAATTTTATAGCTTATATATTTCACTTAGAAAACAATGAGCATGCATTTAAATATAGCTTACTTTTATTCTTTCTTTTTTTGGTACCAGGGATTGAACTCAGGACCTTGCACTTGCTAGGCAGGCGGCAGCACCACTGAACTAAATCCCCGGCCCAAATATACCTTACTTTTATAATTATGTAAAAATACAGATTACAGGTGAAAAAATTTATCTGTGCATTTTTTCTCTTTTTATTAATCTGTGCATTTTAAATCCTGCTGAGATTGAAAAGTAACACTTATAGTATTATATCTGAGAACTGATAGTTGAGGTACTTTTCCTTTCTATAATTCTATATTATTTCATCTTTCTCTTATGAGCATTTATTTTTTAAAAATGCAAATAGGATATATATTAAAGAGTTTAACTCTCACAGATTTTCTTTATCTTCTTTTTTTTCTTTATCATACCTTCTACCAGTTATACAGAGCAAACTCTAAAGAAGATAAAATCTGATTTAGCACCAAATTGTAAGTTAGTTCTTTACTGTTCAGGTTATCAATTGGCATTCTTTGTAAAAATGATATCATATTATTAAAATGTAAAGATTCTTCTTAGCTCAAGGGGAGCATAAAAACAGACCATGGGCTGTATTTGGAACAAGCTGTACTTTGCCAGCCCCTGATCTTGATTCTTTTGATCTGCAGAATACTGAAAGAAGTGTTAAAGTATTCCACTGTTATTGTGGAATGGAATGGAGGTTTATTTTTATATTTCTGGACCTCAGTGTGTGTCTAGTGCTTAAGATCTTTCCTCTTCCTCACAGTAACTCTAACCCGGCCTCCTTTGTACCCAACTTTGTCTCCTTTTCATGTCATCAAGGCTGCTGGGTTTAATGGCTGCAGCTGTTGTTAGTTGCACATAGTTTTAGGTGGTGGTTTGCATGACAAGGATGAGAAGCCCATGGCTCCGTTCATTGTAGTGGGCTTCAGGTCCTCAATGCCATAGCATGCTTTTGTCTGGGGGCTCTGAAATCAGTCAGGTGTGGGCCTTGGTCTGCAATGTGGGCACTGAGAAGGAACAGATTGACCAGGCAAAGAGGCTGGAAACAGAGCAGCAGTAGGGGAAGATCTTTCCTACTAATGGAATTTGGAGCTCAAGGGCTGCCTTAGTCACTTTATTCACCCCTGAGACATAATACCTGATGCTCGCAACTTAAAGGAAGAGAGGTTTATTTTGGATCATGGTTTCAGAAGTTTCAGTCCATGGTTGGCAGGTGCCAAGGCTGTATGAGGAAGGGCCTGGGCAAAGGATGGCTGCTCATCCCATGGCAGTCAGGAAACAGAGTAATGGGAAGAGCTGGGGCTTGGGGTGAGGGGGTAATAGTATTCCAGGTCACGCCTCCAGTGACACGCCTTTATCGACCAGATCCCACCTCCTAACAGCAAGTATCAGTGGATTAGTGTTCTGCCCCCATGATCCAATCACTGTCCAAACACATGAGGCTTTCAGTGGACACCCCAAATCTAAACTGTAACATTCCACCATTGACCCCAAAAAAACTCATGTGCACCTTTCTTTATGCAAAATGCACTTAATCCAACTCTTAGAGTCGCCAAAGTTTTAACAGGTCCAGCACTGCTGAAAAGTCCAAGTCCAAAGTCTCCTCTGAGACTCAAGGTAAACTTAGCTGTGAGTTCCTGTAAAATAAAAAAATAAAAAAAATTTAAACACTGGTGATATACAGTAGCATAGGATAGACATTCCCATTCCAAAAGAAAGAAATAGGGGGATAGAAAGTTTTAGATCTTGATGATATATGAGATGCCCTCAACACATCTTTCCTATTGTCCTGATGCAGAGTATTTGGGGGTTTTTTTGTTTGTTTGTTTTGTTTTGTTGGTTCTTTGAGACAGAGTCTCACTATGTAGTTCAGGCTGGCTTTGAACTCACTATTTAGCTCAGGCTGGCCCTAAACTCACTGGTGATCCTCCTGCCTCGCCCTCCTGAGTGCTGGTATTACAGGTGTGCACCACCACCCCTGGCTGGATTTTTTTTAATGCTAAACTTTTCAGCAGCCACATTCTCCTTTGCTCCAACTTTGCAGGCACTTCTTTTCTAACAAAAGTGAAAACTTTTTAAATTGTTTTTTTGTTCCTATCTTTCACTTTAGATCTTGCTGAAAGCTACCAGCAATACCCATGCCACAGCCTGGATGTTGAGCTCCTTTGAAATTTCCTCTGCCAGACTGATTAGTCCACTGCCCTTAATAGCAACCTCCTGCAAAGTCTCAGGACATGGGCAAAATTTGGACAAATTTTGTGCTAGAGTATAATACACATGGTTTTGAGTCCAACTGCCACTGGAGTTCCTGTTCCCCACTGAAATCTCCTGAGCCTGGCCTTTGCCATCTACATTTCTATTAGCATTTTGGTCTTCATACCTCTAACCAGAATCTTCTGTCAAGCGCAGTTTACAGCATTCTGGGGCTTCTCCAGCTGGCAACCCTAAACCTTACCAAACTCCTCCCAGAAGCCAGGCTTCTAAACCATGTAGTCAGATATAATCATGGCAACAACTCCACTTCTAGTACCAAAATCTGTCTTAATTACTTTCCTTGTTGCTGAGATACAATACCCAATACCCACAATTTAAAGGAGGAGAAATTTATTTTGACTCATGGTTTCAGAAGTTTCAGTCCATGCTCAGCAGGCTCCAAGGCAGAAACAGCATGGTGGAAAGGTCTGGGCAGAGGATAGCATCTCATGGCAGCCAATCCACTGATGAATACAGCACCCCATGATCCATTCACCTTCCACACTCAGGAGACTTTTGAGGGACACCCCAGCCCTAAACAATTACAAGAGCTGATTGGAGCAGTTGCTTAGCAAGATGCTTCGTGTTGCAGGACCTGTGTGTCACTAGTGCTCTTGACTTTGACCAAACCCGTCCCTCTTGTAGCCTCTTCTGCAATGGTCTTAGGACACCTTGTCCATGTGTGGGTTGGCCAGAGGAAGTAGAAAAGATTCCACTGTTACACTGAGCCTTCACTTCTTCATGATTGTTTCACAATGATTGTTTCATAATGATTGCTATTGTCAGTGATCCTGCCTGCTATAGAAGATGTCCTGCCTCACCATGGCCTACCAGTCCACATGCAGGGAACTGGCACAGCTCCTGCCTTGAAATCTGTCACCTTCTACACCTGCTACCAACTCCTGCTTCTCAGGCTTATAGATTCTCCAGGCCTTGTTGAGAAACCTATATATGCCTGAGAGCATCTCTCCCATGTGGACTGCTCTGTACCAAACCACACCTCCCCATCAGCCCCATTCTATCTGCTTTGTTATCTTCCAGAAATTCTTTACACCTTCCATTTATTGACATCATTCTCATTTCCTGCTAGTAATATAGACATTTTTCTTATTTTTACATTTATTCAGTTATTTCCATGGTAGTTTTTGATTATAGTGGCATCTTATTCTGGTATTCCATAGGAACATAGCTTCAAAACCACTGGCCTTACTTTTAAAAACTTAAGTTTGCTTCCAGCCTCCCCACCTCAAGCTCCTGTAATAGAAAAGATGACAGAAGTATTGTGCAGGGGTAGGATTCTCCTAAGAAGTTAAAGGACCTTGCATCTGCTTTTCTGTCAAGAATATGTTTGGTGTATGCTTTCAGTTGCTTATGCCAAAAAACCTTGGAATCATCCTTAAATCTATTATTTCCCTCACTTCTAATCCATCAGAAAATCCTGTTGGCTCTTCCTTCAGAATATAATCCAGAACCAACACTTACCTCCACCTCTACCATCACCTCCCTGGCCCAAGCTACCTTCCTCTGGCATGTACATTAGGGAACTCACCTCCTAACGGGTCTTGGCCCCAGCTTGTAACAGGGAAGATCTTTTTAGAAGTTGTCCTTGGAAATTTCTTTTGTTTCCTCTCTCTTTTTGCCTTCCCCTCCCTAATGCTTTTGCAAGGCTTATGTACCCTTCCCTCTGCTGGGCATTCTAAATTCTAAAGAAAAGCCTCACCTAAATGGTTAAATTGTTAACTGCTAAAATAATCTTTCATTAATTTTAAGAACCCAGAATATCCAATGACCTTTGTAACACCCCTCCTTAGACTTTATTTAGCTCTGTAAATTGCTGTGAGGTTTAGAATACAGGAACTTGCCCCAGGAGGTTGAGGTCCATTACCATGTTCTGGCCAGAGAAAAAGGAAGAAGACACATACCCTGAATGATGAAGATCCCACTTAGAACACAGCCTTCCTGCCCTACTCCACCTTTCCCTACAAAAGTCCTTTGTGCCCCAGAGTCCTCCAAGATGGACCAGTGAGGAGATAACCCTTCTGTCTTCTTCAGAGTCAGCCCTTGAGTAAACCCAATTCCTTCCCAACAACTCTTACGTCCAGAGTATTGCCCTTCAAGTGGCAGATAGCCCGGACCTTAACCTAGTAACAAGCCTGCAGCCATACAATGATCCCTTCTTTGTTCAAAACCTTCCAGTCGCTTCTCATCTCATTCAAAGGTGAAAATCCTGATAATGGCCTCATAGCTTCTGGCCCTGGCTCTCCCTCTAATCAGTCTACTCCTGTGATGTACCCCCTTTACACCCATATACACCCCATGCTGCTCCAGCTTCACAGGACTCCTGGTTGCACCTCTGACACACCACACAGCTCCCATCTCAGAGCCTTCACATTTGCTGTGTTCGCTCACTCCTGCTAGCTCTCCATATGGCTGGTGCCCACCTTTCCTGTAAGTGTCTGCTGAGCTATCCTTATTAGAGCTGCCTCCCCAGACCACCCTGTATAAACAACAGCTGCTCCCATCCCCTCTTTTGCAACATTCCCTCCCCTCATTGTCTTGTCTTGTTTTCGTCCGTAGCAGATATCTTCAGCAGACATACTTCATTTCTGCTCATTATGTATTTATCATCTGTCAGTCCTCTTAGAGTACAAGCACCTGGCAGAAAGGACCTTTATCTCTGTTGCTTATTTCTATGCCTCCACTACCTAGAACAGCACCTGGAGTTTAGTAGGTGCCTAGGACACAGTTGAATGCATGAATGGATGGATGGATGGATGATGAGTCTACATGTTTTGTGCCCTAAATATAAACACAGGGTGAATATCCCTTATGAAATACTTGGGACTAGAAGTGTTTTGATTGCAGAATTTTTAAACTTTGGAATATTTGTACAGAATTTATTGGTTGAGCTGTGATCAAGAAGTTTTGACTTTCAGAGCATATCAAATATCTGATTTTCAGGTTGAGGATGCTCAATTTCTGTTACAAGAACTTACATATCACTAAGTTTAATTGCTTTCAAAACAAAGAACAAAGCAAGTTTTACAAAATATGCCTGCATAAAACTATTTTAATGACCTCTGTGTACATTTTGGAGGCATTTTAGCATAGTATGCATGTACTTTGGTTTCATTCTACTTAATGGCAGCTTAAGTTCTCCTTGAAAATGAATGGGATTGAATTTCTAAAGTCTATACCTGCTATTTCCTTATAGATGGAGAGCATCCCAGCTCATCAAGAGCATACCTGCTTCCGACCTGCCCCAGGTCAGGGCAAAGGTCACAGCCATGGAAATGCTGAAGGGTCAAAGGGCTGACCTAGGACTCCAGAGGGTCTGGGAGGGCAACTACCTTGCTTCGGTAAGTCCAAGACAGCGTGCAATCTACTCCTGCTCTCTTTACAAAGAAAGTGAAGAATTTTTCTCCAAGAAATGACAGAAGAATAAAACACTTTCAGAAACTAAATGATTCCTATGTGAAGAACTACATTAAAAGATTTTGTTGCTTTTAAGTGAACAATATTTGATGTTCTCCTCATCTTAAAAATGGTTCTCTGTGTTGTATTCGTATTAGGTGCACTCTGTAACCTGGCCTGTGGCCTTTAAAACCTTCTCTTGCATTATTCAGTGACTATTTTAAATTACCATCTTTGTATTAATTATTCCCAAAGCTACATTTCATCTTCTCTCTCATTTCCTAATTTAAAAATTTCATAGGACCTTTGATGTTATAACAACCCTTGACTAGTCTACCATCTGGGGTGAGGAGATAAAAAAATACGTGTGTGAAACTATAAGTACAGTTGTAAAGCAGTAGACTAAAAGATCGCTTTTGCAGTTCCAATGCTAAGCATTTTCATTTCGTTGTTTCCTTTTTCTTTCAGAAGCCAGATACACCTCAGACTTCAGGCACTTTTGTCCCTGTTGCTAATGAACTGAAACGGAAGGACAAATACATGAATGTCCTCTTTTCCTGTCATGTCCGTAAGGTAAGGGAAGCTCAAAACAGACCATCATGGAAAGAAAAGACTAATTCAGATGAGACTCACTCAAGTAGACCTGCAATAAAATTTAGCAATGATGCATAGCTAGCTACCCCACCCATGAGCTGTACCTGTCTGTACTGAGGCATTGTTGGACTGGCTGGCAGGACTTCCTAAGAGAAGTGAATACTTTTGACAATCATTTCTTTTTGAACAGGATATGATATTTCCTTGAGGTGGTATCTTTCATACCACCTACAGATCTGCTTTGTATTTAATAGTCATTTAATGCTTTTTATACATGTATTATTACTAAAACAAGGCTGAGGAAGAGAACATAATTTGGAAAAGAGGAATAGGACGTGCTGAGACTTGGATTTCAGGGAAAGGTGTATGCTATGAATGTATTTGCTTGTCGGAAGTGGATTATGTGAACTATTGTTCACTGGGAGATGACAGCAGTTGGGCAAATGAAAGTGTGGAAATTGGGAAATGGAAGGCAAAGGACATAGTTAAAATACATCCTTAGATGAATTCATAGAAAAAAACGTGTAAAATGATCCAAATTTTAAAATATTAATGAAATGATGAATTGAAGAAAAATATTACTCAGATTGGCCTAAGAAGAGATATTGATGTACATATGGCAATATCCAAAGGAAGAACTTTAAAAATTATCAAAGAATTACCTCAGACCTTATACCCAGTTCCAGCAAGTTTAGTTGACTTCACAGGTACTTCACTTCAAATCTTTAAAAAATATATAACTATAATGTTATTTAGATCAGAATAATTAAGTGTAGAATAATTCAGCTGTAAGTTTGGTGAACTTTAAAATATTGTTAGGAACCAGCATTTGTAAGAATTTAGGGAAACACTGTTGTTAGGAGTATAAGATCTGTTCCTTTTGAGTGGACAACTTGGCAGCATTGATCAAAATTTAAAATGACCTTACTTCTTACCTCATAAACTGCACAACTCAGGATTTGCTCTGTAATTATATTTGCACAGATATCCAAAGGCAGATATATGTATGTGTTTGTACATTATAACAGCCAAAACACTGGAAAACTGGAAATGCTCATCAGTAGGTGATTGGATTATGAATTATGTACATACACGAATGCAATGTAGCTGTTTGAATGAGTGGAAAGAAGGTATATGGGGAGAGCAGACAGAATATGTGAAACAGTAGTTTTCAAGATAGTAAACATCAAGCAGGGAAAGGGGATCCTTGAAATACTGAAAAAGTAAGGAGTGCAGTGTACAAATCTACTTTGGCTTTCTAGACTGTCCTATGTGAGAGAGTCACACCAAAGCCCCATGGATTCCCCTGTTGAAAAGACAGCTGAGAGCTGGGGGACACCAAGGCAGCTAGATTTATCCAGCTGAGTCCTGATCAGCTGTGCACATGAAGAAACTACTCAAAGCTGAGGAAAACTCACCCAAAGGATGAGAGATGAGAACACGCAGCATTCACACAGGCTGTGTGCGCGGAGTGTCTGTCCCAGCAGCCAGACTGCAAACCTCAGGATCCCTGACAATGGGTAGAGCACTGACAAGCTTCTTGCCTAGACAGGGGAAATAATTAACCCTGCATAAATATTACTGCAGGCCTGCTGGACAAATCTTAAAAGCACAACTGGAAAGAATCAAGCTGTTTCTAAGTAACCTACCAGTATCTCAGAGCAGAGCTCAAAAATGTTTCTAGAAATACAGAAATACCCAGCACCCAGAAGGTAAAATTCTGAATGCATGACATCCAATCAAAAATTGCCAGGCACACAAAACAACTGGAGACTGCAACCCCTAATGAAAAGAAAAATCAGTCATTCAAACTGACAGATTATAGAATGAAGAGCCAAGGCCATTAAAGCAGTTAAAGTTATACCCTGTATATTCAGAAAGCTAGAGGAAATATTGAACATTTTAAATAAACACAGGACAGATCCATAAATGCATTGAATTTATAAAGAGGAATAATGAGAAAAAATACACTCAATGGGATTAACAGAAAATGAAAATTTGACCTTGTAAAAGAATTAGTGAATTAAACACAAAGAAAAAAGAAAGACTCAAACATCAGGAAGCTGTGAGACAATTTCATGTGGCCCTGTATAATTGCAGTTAGAGTCCCCAGAGGAAGAACAGAGAAGGAAAAAAATTTTTTTTAATCATTAAGTCAACGTAATATAACCTTTTTCTTTTTTCTTTTCTTTTTTCTTTTCTCTTCTCTTCTCTTCTCTTCCCTTTTCTTTTCTTTTCTTTTCTGCAGTACTAGGAAACTCAGGGCCACTCTACTACTGAGCTAAATCCACAGACTTTTTTTTTTCTTTTTTGAGACAGAGGCTCACTAAGTTGCCCAGGCTGGACTTAAACTTGCTACCCTCCTGCCTCAGCCTCCACCCGCTGCCCTTGACTAACTAGGATTACAGGCATATGCTGCTGCACCCAGCATGATTCAGACTTCTAAACAAAACAGAGAGTGGCTGGTTTTGAAGTTAGACTGATATAAATGTCATTGAGGAAAGTCTGCTGGCAGTATCTTGAGTTGATTATCATACTCAGAGTCTAGCTCTGAACTCTGAGGTCAAGAAACTGTTTTATTAACCTATAGTTAATCAGATGATGAAAGACTTGCTAACCAAATTCACACACCCATACAAAACATATTTATATAAGCTATAATTCCAGTTTGTGAATATAACAAAGGAGTGTACCATATCCACAATCCTCATACTTCCTTTCTACTATTAAGATACCTGAGAAATCAAATTAATAGCCAGAACAATTCTGATTATTAATTGTTCTGATTACTAATTAGAGTTGGACAGTTTTGAGAATTAGGTCCTCTACTTTAGAAGAGCTTAGGTATCTCTAGAGCAAAGATAATTTTATGTTTAACAATTTTATTTTGGGTTCTGCTGGACAAAAAGCTGAGCAATTCTTATTCATGCTCCTGTATTTCTAAGTTCAGTGCGAAACTCTTCACACTGTAGTAGGATAATGTTCTCTTTAGAATCTTTCAATCCCAAAGGTACACCGAGGCATGCTTAGTACGACTTCAGCAGAGCCCATCCTTATGCTTTGCTTCCTTTTGAAGCTGCACTTTCCTTAGCTACAGTTATAAACCGTCTTTTAGGGTGAGAGACTTCTGCAAATAGCTCCTCTCACCATGAGGTGTTTTCTCTCGTCTGACTCTCCATGGAAGCTTTATGTCTGACCCCTGTGGTACCAACTGAACCTGTAAGCAGATCGCTTGAAGTATACTATATTTAGGAAAAAACAGGATGAGAAATTTTTTTGAGGTTGATATTTTAGCTTTGTTTAGATTTTAGCTTTGGTTAGAAGAAGATGAAACTTATCTAATATTGAGTCTATGACCCAGTTTTTTATCACTTTCTGAATTTAAGTGAAAAAAAAAAAAGTGTTCCTACCTCTTCATTGTATTAAGTCTGGGGTTTACATATATATATGTAGAATTTTTCCCTTTGCTTTTTTTATACAGTTAAGTTATGCAACTTAAATTTTTTTTGTTATGTAATGTCATTGCCACTCACCTGATTCATGTTTTAGGGTTGAGTTGAGTTGCTGAAACACAAAGTGGGCTTGTGGTGTGTTCTTTTTAGAAATTACATTTTCTGGGCCGGGGATTTTAGCTCAGTGGCGCTGTGCCTGCCTTGGAAGAACAAGGTCCTGAGTTCAATCCCAGGTACCAGAAAAAAAAAAAGAAATTACATTTTCTGTATATAAAAGAATATAAAATCCCTAAACAAAGCTTCTAAATAATGCTGCTTTGAACATATCTTTGTTGGTGGTGCTTTTTAGATTAATTCATGGACATATCCTTTAAAAAGACATGTGGTCTTTTCATTTGATTCTGGAATGACCTTGTAAAAGTATTCATCTAGGGATGGGGGGGTTGTTTGTTTTGTTTTTGTTTTGATTTGTTTTGTTTTTGAGATAGAGTCTCACTGTGCAGCCTAAGCTGTCCTTGAGCTTGTGCCTATCCTCCTGCCTCAGCCTCTAGAATACTGAGATCACAGGCGTGCACTACCACTTGCAGCTGCAACTAGGTTTTTTAATCATATCTTTTTGTACAACATTCCTCTCTCTCGGTATGATTACACAGAGTATATGGGGCATTACTTTTGCTCAGTGTTCAAGTTCCTTTTCAGATGTTCTTTATTCTACAAAGTCTAAGATTGACGTAAATGATGATTAGTGCTTTCCAGCGTGGGTTTCATAGGACAAGTGTTTTGCTATTAATAGTGGAAATAGGTTTCCATAAATTAAATGTCTTTTGAAAATGCTAGGTTAAACATACTGGTGAAATGTAGAATTCTCAAAGCATTTAATATATTCCTAGGTTATGAATATCCTATAAGCTGCAGTTTGCAGTGTTTCTCCAACAAACTAGACCATGGAACTTTTCTTTCAAAAAACTCCACATAAAGCTAGTGTGGCATAAAACAACTTAGAACAATGCCAACAGGGAAGCTCTGTGTACACCTAGTTTCAAGTCTTCGGAGAAAGGTTACTCATCAGTTACAGCAAAAAATGGATGCTATGCAATGCATTTACCAAGAGCAGTAATTACATATCACATAGTCTCTATTTTACTCTTAATTACAGGTGCATTTTTTGTTGAGTTGACTAAAAAATGTACTCTGGTTATGTTAAATGCTTAGAGAATTGAACAGATATCTAAAACTGAGAGGCAAGGGGAAAAGTTTGAGTAAGATTCAAACTCAAATTTGGATTTTAGTTTGCAGTATCTTGCCTATAGCAATATACCTGCCACATCCCATCCTGCCTATACTAATTTAGTTAGCTGAATATCTTATGGAAGCCAACAATGTTTTCAAATTAATCTCTAACTTCTTTGCATCATGGAAATGAGAACTTGAGAGAAGAGGCATGCCTTCTCTTCTAGTTGGGGGAGGGATTTTTGATATCATTTTGTCAGCTTTTTCCTTTTAGTCACTGAGAAACATGGCATTGCAGTGATTCAAAAATTTTTAGTGCTAGGTACCTTGATTAAAATATACAATACCTAAGTCTGCCAGGAATGGTGGCACACACCTATAATCCCAGCAGTCAGGAAGATCAAAGTGAGTTTGAGGCCAGCCTGGGCTACATAGTGAATTCAAAGCCAGACTAAACCACACAGCAAGACCCTGTTTCAAACAACCAAAACAAAATAATAAAATAAAACACTACTTAAGTCTAAGACTGGAAAGTCCTAATTAACAAGTAGCTAACTACTTATAAAATATCCTAAGTTTAATTCTGTCTCTTAGAAAAGATTTACCAGCAAACAGGGCATTCTCTCAAGCAGGGGTATTTTGACCCTGTCTCTGATAAAGTAACATTCTAAATAAAAAACACACTTGTATAAGAGGTGATTAAAAATATGGTGAATGTTTATTTTTTAACCTTAAAATAGTAAACAAAAAACAAAACTGCCAAGAACGATGGAATAAGTGTATTTGAAGCAGGGAGGTTGAGTATTTTGAGGGATGATTAGTGGCAATTTATATACACACATGTATATTTTCTCCAAATCTTATTATCTACTTTAATTTTCTTTATAGTATTATATGTAATAAATGATTTTTACTTATTAGTTGCTTATTTGTCTCACCCCCACATACTAGTCTCAGCTTCTTCTTATAACCAGGGACTTCATGTCATTGTTTTATGTGCTTGGACTGTCTTCTAATTATTAGATTGTATTAATTCTTTGTATATCTTAGTTACGAGTCCCTTATCAGACAAATGATTTGCAAAAATTGTTTCCTATTGTGTGGGTTTCTTTTTACTATCTTGATGGTGTCTGGGTTTACCTATTTTTAGTCCTTGCATTCGTGTGTGTGTGTGTGTGTATTCGCTGTCTCTGTTAAACTGTAAAATTTCAATTGCCAAATTCCTTACATCCAAAAACTACTACTTCTTGGGCCAGAGATTTAGCTCAGTGGTTCCAGAGCCTGCCTCGCAAGTGCAAGGTCCCGAGTTCGATCCCCGGTACCAAAAAAAAAAAAAAGAAGAAGAAGCAAAAACTGCTACTTCTTTGAGATCTCAGTTGCATCGCATAGAGTGGCCATACATGGTACCCATTTATTAAAGAACTTGTCTCCAGAATCAACTACCTCTGCTCCTCAAATGTTTCTGCATGATAACTTGATTGCATTCTTTTTTTTTTGGTACTGGGGATCGAACTCGGGACCTTGCGCTTGCGAGGCAGGCGCCAGAACCACTGAGCTAAATCCCCGGCCTTTGATTGTATTCTTGATGAGACGCTATAGTTCATTGGTTTGTTTTCTTACAGGTGAATCGATTTAGTAAGGTGGAAGACCGAGCAATTTTTGTCACTGACCGTCACCTGTATAAAATGGATCCCACTAAACAGTACAAGGTGATGAAGACTATCCCCCTGTACAATGTAAGTTCTCTGTGCTTCTCTCTTCATGGAAGATTCTTACCCTGGTGCTCAGGGACCACTAGTGGGCCAAGAAACTGACCACAAGAATCTTCAGGGCTTTCAAGAACCCATTCACTCCTAACATTGTATGCCAGTCTTATATTTTGCACAGGTGTACAGTTTCTCAACAGGAGGGTCCAAAGTTTTGAATTGATTAATGAAAACATTTTTTAAAAGGACTATGGATTCTATATAATCTTTATTCCTAATAATGTTGCTGCTTAAATGTGCTTGCATGTAATATATTTTCATATTTATTCTTATAAGATGTGTTTTTTTATGAAATGGAATCAAATAGAAAAACACTACAAAATTTTTTGTGAAAACATCACTGATCTTTTAAATTTAAAATGTCTATGACTTCCAGAAGTTCCTTATTAGTGGAGTGATCTGCAATCTAAATCTACTCTGTTGTTCACTATATCCTTAAGGTTTTCAAATTCTGTAATAATTTTTTATTTGAAATGTGAAATGTGGTAAGTATTTCCTTGAATCTCAATATGAATTTTTTTTCTGTTTAGCCATGTCTGCTTTATAAGTGAGCACTATTCTGATTCTTTAGAAAGATCCTACTGGACTACTAGATCTTTTCATTTATCAGGTGGTTTTGTCTACTAGTCCTTAAAGAAAGAAGTCTGTTGTCTGATACTAGAATCTGTAAGGAACAAAATTTAGAGATTATCATAAATCCTTGCAGTCACTACAAAAAGGAATAGGAAACATTTTTTTGTAGTTTATTTTGTTGTATCGGACGTCCTTTTGGCTGTAAGGAACAGAGACGGCAGACTGTGCCTGGCTTTACGGAATGACTTTGCTTGCCCAGATTATAGAGCTGGCATCTATCCTAACTACACTGTCCCCTCACCCCGCCCCTCCCACATACATACACCTTTTCGCTTTTATAGAAAGGCCAGAGGATTGCAGCTACAAATAAAATGGTATTGCAAAACACTTTGGATTGTATATAGTCTTCTTGGAAAAGGCTTGTTAATTTTATACATCAGTCATAGTTTAAGCCTAACAACCCTGCAGTCTTACAGTAGGAGATGGAAGAAGATGGGGAAGAACATCAGATTTTGTCAAAATCTAATGAGGTGTGGAACCGAACAAAAATAAGTTGTGTTGTGTTTCTTATATATTTTCTTTCAATTAAGGGTAGATCCATCAGGCACAAGATAGTTAAATAAATAATCTTCCTTTTTCATGTTGAGTGGTTTATATTTTTATAACTGTTTTCAATCATCATCATCACTAATAATAATAATATTGTATGGTATTAATAATATCACAAAAATTAATAGTATCTAACTACCTAGCTGCCTAACTACCAGTATCTTTCTAGTAAATGTGAACATCAAATGGATGAAAATGCACTGTTGAATATGTTGTGTTTTGCTCTTGTCCCTTTGTATTCCAGCACCATTTTTATACACCAGCCTAATTTCCAGCAACCAGTCATGGTGGTGCATACCTATAATCCCAGCACTCTGGGAGGCTGAGGTAGGAGGATTGCAGGTTTGAGCCCTGCTGGACAACATAGACATTAGCGAGATCCTGCTTCAAAAAAATATTTTTTGCTGGGGATTTAGCTCAGTGGTTCCGCCCCCTACCTTGCAAGGGCAAGAACCCGAGTTCGATCTCTGGTACCAAAACAAAAAAATAAAAATAAATTTAAAAAAAAAAATTTTAAGTGCTTTTAGCCAACCCCACCCTGACATCACACACAGAAGGTTGAAAGCGTGTAGCCATGAATGAGTCATGGATGTGGTGTGTAAATATCCCCCTCTAGTACTCATTGGCCAGAATAATTCCCCAGCTTTTCCCTGGAGGAGCCAGCTGCAGTTGGCCCAAGGTGGCAGCCTCCACTGTCCCTTGCCAATGCCCCTGCACCTCCAGATCAGCTGTGCGCACTCATCAGCCTTGGCCTCAGAGTCTGCTTCTGGGAGGAACTAACTTCAGAAGAATCTGCCTCCCAGGATGGAGCAGGTTGGATGGAAAGGGGACTTCCACTGTATTTTTTTTAAGTCCGAAGCAAATGTGGCAAAATAGTCTGAAGATAAGGACATATATATTTGTTGTATTATTCCTTATGCTCTTCTGTGTGGTTTAAATTTTTTAAAATTAAAAACAGAGTTTAAGACAAGGAACCTTTTTTAAAAAATAATAATATTCCAATAGTGTTGGGGAAGCCAGGGAGGAGGATGAAGGAAAACAAATTTAACTGTGTTGACTTCAGCAAAACTTACAAGAATACATTCTGTAAATAATCAGAAGTCTGAACTAGAGACTGGGAAATAATTCAGCACTGAGGATTGAAATTTAAGAGTAGATCCAATCGCAAGTGCAAGATCCCGAGTTTGATCCCCCGTACCAAAAAAAAGAGTAGATCCATACACAGTTGGAGGTGGAAATTATGAGTCTAGAGGGAAAATAGGGGAAGATTATTCAGGAACACTCAGTTAAATGATGGGGACAGGAATCTCTGCAGGAAATGGAATAAAAAGCAAATCTCTTTATGGTTCTCTATTTTCTCATATCTCTTTTAGTGTGCTAAATGAGCTCTAATTTCCCTTCAAATCCATAAGGTTATGAGTTATTCTAGGAAAGAAAAGAGCCATGGGAACACCATGTTTAGAACCAGATTGAAAAGTTTTCATTTCAGAAATCAGAGTTGTCAATAAAAAATTTTTAAAAATACAGCTAAGGGATCTCAAACTCTTCTCTTCTCCCTTGCTGTGTGGCTCCTTTCCTGCGTTAGCTAGGCTCTTCTGCCACCGAGGAACAGACTCACATATTATCCTCAGTAATGTCCTGGTTGTGATATGGATGTGTATGGCAGTGAGGGAGAGGAGTCTCAGGGAAATCCAACAAGTGCTGCTGTTCAACCACGTGAGTGCTGGACAGTTAACCTCCTGCCTCGCTTTCAGGCTCTCCTTCTCTTTGTATCTTCTTATTGACAGTCACCTCTTTCTTGTGAGACACTGTGGGTCAGCCCTAGGCCCAGGTCAGAATCAGCCACCCCAACAAGTTATTTGCATTTCATCCTGCAGGAACATATTATGCAGTGTTCTCAGATGAGGCCTCTCCATGGCAACCAATTCTGCGTGATCTCCATGTTTTGTTCCTTGTCAAACACTTGCAAATATGTGCATAGGTTTTCCTGATTTTTTTTCTGGTATGACATAGAAAATTCCTGTAATTCATTTTGAGCACAATTGATCTCTTCCCTGTGCTGTTTTTTTTGTTTTGTTTTGTTTTTGTTTTTGTTTTCAATGCTGAGGATTAAACCCAGGACCTTGGGGATGCCAGGCAAGCTCTCTACCACAGAGCTACATCCCCAGCCCTTTTTTATTTTGAGACAGGGTCTCACTAAGTTGCCCAGGCTGGCCTTGAATTTGCAATCCTACTGCCTCAGTCTCCCATGTAGCTGGGATTACAAGCATGTGTACCACTGTACCTGGTATTACTGCTTTTGACTGTTGTTTCATGGCCCATGGCACATTGGGACCTTGGTGGCAGGTCATGCTAAATACTGGGGCATGCCATTAGGTTTTCCTTGTGGAAAGGATCTGTGGGAGAGAATTGCTTCCCAAAGGTTGGCTTCATCAGGCATTCTGTTGCCAGGATGCCAGTCTTTGTCAAGCAAGTCCTAAAATTTTGTTCATGAACCCCAGCATGGATGGTTCTGTTTCCTTATCTGGCTCCAGCCAAGCAATATAGGTCTAATGTTTATTGCTTTACTAATGCACCATAAAAATACCCACCCAATCCCTCTATCCTTGGATCTCCTAACTCAGTGAGCTTGTGTAAATCAGCAGCAGCTAAGTGCCTCAGCTGCTGAACTCTGATGGACACATCAGCTATCCCCCACAAGTCACCAGCAGGAGGCTAAGTAACTGCTTTATGCGTACAAACAGTGGGCTTCTGGCCCTCCCTACTGAGAGGAGAGAGAGCCTTTACTCCTCCCTAAGATGCTGCCACCAACTGCACACCCTCTGACAGCTATTCCTGGTGCTCATTTCTGTCTGCTAGATCTTGTGTTGCAAAGAAGAGATTTAACAGACTTAAGTGGAAGGTGGGAGGGTAGTATTTAGTTATAACTTTCAGAGAATCCCCTTCATTTGGTATTTTAGGCAGCTATACATCATTGTCTGATCACACAATAGCTAAACCATTCAATTCAAATAATTACTGAGTATTCATTATATGCTAGCCATATAGGTATTCAGAACACTGAAGTATCAAAACAGTCACAGTTCTGCCTTCGTGGAATTTATATTTGAGTGGGGAAAAGCAAATATATGTATGTGCATATGTATATATGTATGTATATGCAGGTACAATATGTATCATATAGTCCATAGAAGGTATGAGGGAAAAAATAAAATTAGGGAAGAAAATGAAGAATGTGAGGGTCATTATAATTTTAAATATGGTGGCCAGGCCTCCCTAGGAAGTTGACATTGGGGCAAAAGCTTGAAAGAGTTAAGGAATGAACCCCTGTGTTTACTTGGTAGAAAAAGTATTTTAGAAAGAAGGAACGGCAACATTTCCTTGAGCAGAGAGGAAGAAGCCTTCCCAGGGCTGGAGATGTTCAATAGCTTGATCTGGTGTGGACATACATAAACATTCATCAGGCTGGTTACTTGAAATCTGTGTGCTCTAGTGTGTGCTGTCACACTTCAATTAAAATGGCAGGAGGGGGAGAGGAAATAGGAGACAGGAAGCTGTGGATGGAGGAGCTTAAGAAGAGGGATGTCAGTTAAAGAGGAAAGTAAAGTCATTGAGGTGAGTGGTCACTCGAGCCTGGAGGAGGTCTCCACGTACTGGGAGACTGTGGTACATGAAGACACATGCACTGTACAGGAGACAGTATAGTAACGTTGGTTCCACAGCTTGTCCAAAGAAAACTACACCCCAGGTCCCTTGTCAAGGGAAGCAGCCCTGGGCTGTTCCTCAAG